AAACTTAAGTGCATGGACAAATCCTTAAAAAAGTTGGGTCGATCCGTTTTCAAGTTTGCTGGAGTTACATCAATTGGAAAATCTTTTCAAAACCATTAAAAAGATATTGTTATTATTATAGTTCACTTGCGCTTTTCAGAATGATTCGATGTCTTTCTCATCATTCAAATGTCATTTTGTGTAACTCTATATAGGGTTCTAAACGGGCCTTATAGAAAAGTATGTGATTTCTCTGCCGGAGTATATGTGTATTTTGCACAAAACAGTCAGAGTTGGTTATTAAAACAGAGCCTTACTGATAGAATGAGGTTTAAAAAAATGTCTGGGCCCCCAAAATAGATATTAAATGATCTTTTCAGCCTAGCCTGGAAGGCTTTTTGATGCTCTTAACAACAAACAATGTTTTCTAGATATGGCCGGTAAGGATGGTAAAATAATTGAAAAATGACTTAGAATGCGCAAGTTCTGTTAAACACCACCTAAACTTTGTTTTAATAACCAGCCTTTAGTTTCAATTTCTAGATTCACAATTACCTAAAAATTTTAGAGTCTACATTGTGCCCAAAGCAAAGTGGCCTTTAAGGGAACAGGTCGTAAGTTGGTTTTTGTGTCCAGATTATGCAAACTTTGGACCACAAATTATGAGTTAAAGTTGCCTTTGTGTGTTTAACAGAAAGCTACATGTACATAAATGGAGTTAATATTTCTTATCTCTTAATTAGTGTTAGCCCTTTGTGGGTTTATAAATGGAAAGCTTTGTAAATATGCCACGTTATTAATACTGCTCAAGCGTAAGTAGGTCAAGATGGCTGGAATTGTTAGGGGTTTCAATGTTTTAATGAAACAATACAAAGTTTGTGATCAACAAGTTCTTTAACCTACGTAGACTAGCTGGCGGTTTCATTTGGGGTGTCTAAGAGACATCTCTCACTTTACAAACTACAAACGAAAACAACACCCTGCACACAGCAAACAAACCGCCAGCTGCAGTGCGGGCTACAAGTTCTTGGAAACTCAGTGTTTTGTTGCTAGTTTTCCTTGGTTGAAAGTTTTTTTCTTTCTTAAATAAAATGAACCAAGGATGAAAATGAATTTCTACATAGGCATACCGATAATTTAAGACAGAATCCACCAGGAAATTGAGTAATTTTAATTTTCAGTGGACAAAAACAAAAAAAACAGAATAATTTAAAGAATTTTGCATTCTTTGTTTTACATTTTTCAAGGGCTGAAGATGTAATAAATCATCTGTAGTAACACCAAAGAAAATTTCTCATGGAAGTCCGAGAATTATGAATGTCAAATTTTACGAGAATTGTGATTACACATTTAAAATTCTGAAAAATTTGACATTCATTTTCTTGGGCTCCCATTTTTTTTGTTGTCACTACAGATGATTTATTACATCTTTAGCCCTTGAAAAATGTAAGAAAGAATGCAACATGCTTTAAATTATTAAGGTACAAGATTTTTGTCCTCTGAAAATCAAAATTCCTCAATATCCTGGTGGATTCAAAATTTTTTTTTCAACATTTACATTGTATCTTTATCATGACTGAACCGTAGCATTGTAATAGCATTCGTATTTTGTTAATTCCTATGTTTTATTTGCAAAATAAAATTAAATGTGTTACTGGTTCACTTTTTTAGAAAATACATAGTTTTTTGTTTTGAACTGAACACATGGAGGAGGGGTGAGGCAGTGGTCAGAGCACTCGACTCCCATCAATTTGGCCTGGTTTCAGGTCTTGCCATGTATGCCATATATGGGTTAGGGACCGGTCGCCTGGGTGCGGGGTCGGAGGATTTTAGAGGGGATTACTTGTTTTTTGGGAGAACAAAAGGGGGGATCAGTTGTAACTGAGAATCGAAAAGCGGGGATCGCTGAAAACTTCGGAAGGATTCAAAGTGGGGACCACTCAAATTTGCTTGGAAAATGAAGACATGGAGGGGGGGGAGATCGTGAAAGTCATCAAAAGTTATTAGGGGGGATCACTTCAGTGAAGTAACACTCAAAGGGGGTATCGGCTAACTTTCCTCTTGTTTTGCCTCAAATCCTCCCCCCACCCCCGGAGATAAACAATGACCTGTCCCTTACACCTGGTTAGCAATGAACGCGCTAAATTATTGAAAATCGCGACCCTCGAGGAAGGTGTCCCACGCGCGGTGCTCTGTTTCTTTCGCGCGTCACCTTTCTCGCGGGTGGTGAGGAAAATGACAGAATACTCGTAGTCAGATTGTTAAGGCTATTTTCTTTCCTGACTTTTTTACCGCAAAAAAAAAAAATAAAGCATTGTTATGGAACTCTGGCGTCGAGTTTTCCCTGGAAGCAAAGAAGCTAAGCGACGTATAAAATCTGTCATTTAAAATTATTTTAAATGACAGATTTTTCAGGAGTGAATTTGAACAGATAAGCAAGAAATCCCGCAGGAAATCCCGAGCGGGCTAGATTACTGTGAAACTCAGAAAACCGTGAACACGTGAAAAATTTCAGGTATTTAGCAGGAGAGTACTATTTGGGGACACTATTTTTACACGAGACCGCCATTTTACGTGGTCATCCGAGGCACGCGAAGGTCTAGCCGCTTACAGGTTAAAAAAGTACCTTCATATCTCAGTTATTTTAAGACCTTGAGTATTGTCGGTTTTCACATGACATCACTTAAATTCAAACCACTGAGCTAACCCTGCGCGGCCAATCACAATAAAGTTTAGGATACGAAAGGAATCCTCAAAACCACAAACTAATTACCATTGGTGTTTTCGGTTTAGTTATCTCGCGCCTTATTGGGTAATTTCTCGCAACACAATAACATGCCATAAATATTTCTGGTGTTGAAATTGGAAAGGTCTTCCCTGTAATGGGAAAGTGAGCACGATAGGGACATACCGCTTTCACGAACTTAAACTTTAAGCCGTTTCTGGACACGCCAATAAGACGGGGCATTATCAGCTCTGGGACGAGGTCATTTTTAACAGTAACCGAGACCCTCGCTGGTACTCTCGGAGGGTTAAAGAAACACTTAACAGCATCAATAGGGACAGTGGAATTGAGAATCCTGATACGAGGATGCCTACAGTCAGACACCGATGAGTACAACAGGACAGCGGACCGCTGAAGGAACAGTCATCTCCTCTAATGCCAACAATGCTTTAGATCGAGCCCTACCAACCATGTCCTGTGTAAGGTTCGTGATACACCAATCATTAAGAACTACGGTGGTTTACTAATAGTCCCCCTCGGAAAATCGTAATTCGACTATCGTGAAACAAACGATAAAAGAAACCCTTAAATAATATTGATCTTCAGATATTTCACAATTTTCACCACTTGAAAAGGGTTATAATGTTATATCCGCAGTAGTTAAAGGTGAGAAATGACGAATTTTTACTGTGAAACTCACAAAACTGTGAATACAAGAAATATTTAAGGAATGTTATTGTGTTGCCAGAAATTAGCCAATAAGGTGCAAGATAACTAAAACGCAAACAGTAATGGTAATTAAGGTTTGCTTGCTTTGCTTGCTTTATTGTGATTGGCCAGTACACAATCAACAATCCTGTGTGCCAATAACACACATGTACTACGGCGGCAACACTAAGTAATTTGCATCAAAACCTTTATTAGGTAGTTTTCCAGGAAGATCATTTTGACAAGCAAATTTACTTGTATCGAAACAATTTTGTATCGAAACGACCGGCCACCGTCATAGCATAAGATCTTGTAATCTTGTCCGTGTGTGGTAAAACGGAACCCGAGGCTCAGCCACGGAGGTAGGTAGGTAGGTAGATAGATAGATAGGTAGATATATGTAGTTAGTAAAATCCAACTAGTGGTCTATTATCAATGTTGCATTCTGATTGGTTGAGCTAATACTAGGCAATATGTTATAGCCCACTAGTAGCGAAAAGCGCTGGCTTTTTGGCGGCAAAAAAGGATTAAAGTCTAGCTTTAACTAGCTAAAGTTGTTTTTTCTCGATATTTCTGACCAACTAGTTGGATTTTACTAAAACAATTATTCCTCTCGCCCTCATGGCCTCTGAGTCATCGGCCTCATGGGCTATTGACTCAGAGCCCATTCGGGCTCGAGGAATAATTGTTAAATACAATTCATTACAATTCAAATAAAAAAACAGTATAAACTATCTACATTATAATAAAAATATTAAAGAAAAAGCTGCTTTCCATGAATGCCGTGCCCTTGAGTACTTGTTTAAGAAGACATTTGAATTTCGTAAGGGACTCTGCTTGTCTCACATTACACTGGAGTTTGTTCCATAGGATGGCGCCACTATAGCTAAAGCTATTGTTGTAATAATTTGTCCGTGGTAAAGGATGCAAAGTTTATTCTCAGAGTCTCTAAGGTTATATCCCGTTTCTCGTATTGCAAACCTAGAACATAAATATTCTGGAGCCAACCCGTGTAAAGACTTAGAAACCATCGTGGCTTTTTCAATTTCATGCTGGCGTGCTAGATTTTTCCACCCTGGGAGTTCAAACAGGTAACCAGCGTCTTCATCGTAGTCTGAAAATGTCAAAAAACGGGCTGCTCTAATTCGTAGTTTTTGAAGTTTGTTCCTTAAGATTATCCCACAGTTTCCGGCCCAAACAGTATTGCAATAATTGAAATGAGGGTGAATAAGAGCTTGGTAAATTAGTTGTAAGGTCGCTTGGGGGACAAGGTGCCTTTAATACTCTCCTTATGGCCCCGATGCCAGAAGATACTTTCTTTATTATCTTCCCCATATGGCTACCGCAATCGAGATTATCATCGATGGTCACTCCAAGAGATTTAGCAGTAGCGACTTGGGTAACTCGAAAATCATTAATTGCAAGTGTTGGGGAAACCGTTACAGTACTTAGCCTCTGCCTTGATCCAATTAACATGAACTCGGTTTCCATGAACTCGCAAGGTGCGCTTGATGAGACGAAACTTGCTCAAAATACATTCTAATAAGGCTTTTCTACTGAGAACTTCGACTGAGAATTTATCTTGGGGTTAAGATTTCAATCTATCTAAGAATTTTAACGTCTTTGCCACAGAGGAGCCTTCATTTCTTAAATGCGGTTCACCAACGGACGATTTGAAGTTGCACATTTTCCAAGGACTAAATCCAGGCCCTCCTCGCTTTTCTGAGCAAAAGCTGTTTCCGCCGCATCTTCGTATTTCCTGGGACAAAAGTTAAAATGTCGTTTATAAGTAGGTTGAATATGATTAGCCCGTTTCTCGAAAGTCCCGGTAACTTTTCAGGCCCGAAATCAAATAATTAAATCAAAATCAAAGGAATTAAATGACGAGTCCTAGCCAACAAACCAGTCAATTTTGTTTTTACTGATAGAAAGCTACACGTCATATCAGTATGGAATATCTGCAAACATTCTTCAGACAAGTTCGCGAGGAAACCAGTGGTGGAATCACAAAATGTCAGCTATTTTCTCAGGGTAGCATCAGTTAGCAGTGCAGAACTCGAGTTATTGTTCCCAATCACTTACGAATTTGTATACGCCCAGGGTTTTGTGGTCAGCGGATTCAGTGAAAGGATGAACGGCATAGTTGCAACACAAGTGACCACTACACAAGGTAATTTTGTTTAGTCAGCCTTTGAGTAAAGTAAGAACTTCAATGAACTGATAAACTCACCCGAGTTTCACATAACACGTCACTTTCTTTTCGAGAAGAACTCTGGAGACATATTTCTCCGCTTCTATTCTGTTGTTGCATTCCAGGCATACTTCAAAAAATGGCTATAAAAAAAGCAATGTAAATAAAATTTACAGCGTCTTCACACTGGAATGTTTATTCACAATGTTACAGTCATGGGAACTCATGAACGTAGCCTTTAATACAAAAGAAATAAATGCTTTTTGATAAATACCTAATCCAATCGCCATCTGTCCAAGACTAGCATGATTTTTATTCCGCCAGACAGTCCGTACATTCACTCTTGAACATTTAATATCTTACACAGTGGGGTTAGGGTTTCTTTTTGTGTTTTTCATTTTACTTACTCCCAGGTTCCGGGGGATGTTCCGGGGGGTAATTCCGGAGTGTTCCGAGATGCCCCCGTATTCCCCACAATGGCAACTCCTCTAGAAAAGGCACTTTGCTCTCAAGGGAGCCGTTGTAGAAACGTTCGACTCTGTTACAAACCCGTTTCCGGTTCCTTTTTTCTCTTCACAAACTTGTCCTTGTTTTGACCACCGCCGTAACAAGGCGTAGACCCTAACCACCTTTACTTACGATCTGATAACGGCGACGCCAATGGAAAAGGTCGATGAAAAATTGACTTCGCATCATCTCAATTCGTCTAGTTACTTAAAAGAAGGGAAATTAGGTTGGAGCTGAAGGTAGGGGGAGTCCCATTCTCAAATTTCTCAAATTTAGTCATGTCCTATCGTAGATGTGTGGGAAAGGCAAAAAAATTTACAAAAAAGATTGATGGACGTGTAAAGCTGTTGTTCCGCTCCTTCATTAACCTATTGTGTTTTAGGCGTTTCCATTCCCGTCGCCATGGTAGTTTTGTAAGGTCCCAAATTACCTGCGTAAGTGAGTCCGGATTTTAGGGTTTAAAGGATTAGCTTTGCCCGAATCTGTCCCTAGTTGAGCACATTGCTTGATTATTTTGGAAAACATTGTCAATAAACTTACCTCGTATCCAATTAGAGATTTACGAGCTTTGGAAAACTTGTCGAGTTCCAGCCAGTTGTGACTTTCAGCCAGTAAAACCTAAAGACAAGACAATGCGGCAAATGAGCTTAACTATGAGGAAGGAGTTTGAAGGGGTAGGAAAAGGAGGAATAACTGAGGTGCGCGTGAACGCGATTTCCGCGCGAGGAGGAAGGGAAGGAAACCCTGTCTGCTACTTTTCCTCGCGCGTCCTGATTCCCTCCCCGTCCTTTCACTACTCCTTCAAATGCCTGCCACACAGGCTACAAATCAGTGGTTTTAACCAGCAAACATAAGCTGTACGTGGTGCAACTACAGGCTATTTCGAAAACGGGCCATGTGAAAACGAGAACGCGATGAATGCGCGAGGAGGAAAGGACGGAAACCCTTTCTTCTCTCCCTCCTCGCGCGCCCTTACCCCCTCCCCCTCTTTCACTCGACTTCAATGCTTGCCACATAGACTACAAATCAGGGTGTGACCAAACAAGCCTTGGCTCTACATAGTACAGGCTATTTTGAAAACAGCCCGTGTGAGAACGAGAACGCGATGGGCGCGCGAGGATGAAAGTAGAGAGACCATTTGGGCCAGTTTAACCCGTGTTTAACAAAACCGCTTTCTTGGCCATTTTCAGTTTGCTCAACGTTTTTATCTAAACACCATTTTTCGTGAAAAATCTCAAGAAAGTATATAGTGTAGACTGGAAAGGCACTTATTTTCTTCAATTAACCCCTTAAGAAAAGGATCTGGAAGTTCAATGTTTTCCTAAACGACTGCGTTTAAATTTCCTCCTCCCTAACGCGCCCTAATTCCCACATTTCCCTTCCCCTTCAAATGTATTCTACACAGCCTACAAATCAGTGGTGTGAACAAGTAAGCCTTTGTTCAACGTGGTGTAGCTAAAGGTTGTTTCAAAAAAGGGCCCTCAGATGAGAAAGGTCTCGTTTCTCTGATAAAAAAATGTTACAAACCTTTTATCCGGAATCTTGAACTCCTTTTTCAGTTGCTCAGCGGCTTTCAGGTCTCCTTGTAGTATGCACTGAAAAGTGCAAAGTAATCCTTAGAAACCAGGAGCCCACACCCCATTGTATGGCAATTAAATCTGTGACAATGAAGAAACTAACGCTAAAACTACTTTTAATAGTACTTTCCACAGCGGTTTACTTTGCTTTGGTTTTAACTACTAAGTTTAGATAACAGTTTAACAATAACAATCCCAACAAAAGCTGCTGGTCAGAGATCTGAGAGATTCCAGCGTATACTGTTGATTTCAACTTCTAACATTTGACCATCTGTTAGTTAGTATGGCCATTCGAATGAAAGCTTGTACTTGACAAAGATTTCCAGCGGCACTGTTTATTAAGCTGTTAAAGGTAGTATTAACATTTGACTACATTGATGACATATTAATTTTGATCATTCAAATAAGAGCTACTTTTCAGAGTTAAGTTACAATTTTGCCCTAAGTAAGGTAAAAGTGTTACTGTTGACTTAACGGGGGAGGGGGGGGGGAGTGGTCAGTTACCTAGAAAGCTCAATTGATGCAGCTGCTCAACTGTACTGATCATTACACCTTAAAAATAAGATCAGATAGTGAACGTTTGAAAATCCACGGTAAAGGCTAACACAGTTTAGTGTCTTTATCACACCTGGTAGATAGTATCACTGAAAGACAGGTCCATAAATATCTTTCTTTACTTCTCTTCTGGTTTGACTTGATATTATACCATGAGTTTCATTTGTTCTTCTGTTGCCTGAAAAATTAAATCGCGCGTATATAGAATGTATCACTGACAGGAAATATTTTATTGAGATATTTATAGTTCAGAGCAGTATAACGCGCACTCTGATTGGCTTAAAAAGCGTGTTTATCAGTTTGTTTTGAAAATTAGAAAGTAATGTGTGGCGAATTTAACGGATTCTTTATCATAAAACTACTAAAGAAACCTTTACTGTGCTTTGTTATGTTACAAAGCACTTGAGAAGTGGGGAGAAACACTCGACTACGTCTCGTGTTTCCCCCTACATTTCTTTCGTGCCCTAGCCCGGCGCTTTCTGCGTGATTTATAACAGAACAGAGCATAGTCAAGGCATTTGTTAATCAAACACAGAGGACTGGAGAGTTTCTGGGTGCTTTTGGTTCGAATATCTCAAGTTTATCCCTTATCCTAGATCACTAAGAAATGCACAACGTCCCTCTTCTGTTTCTCCCACAAACAGTGAAACCTCTATTAAGCGGACACCTTCCGGACCTTCCCAAGTGTCCGCTTAATAGAGGTTTTGTAAAAATTGCACATTGTTTGTTAACGATTAACGTTCAAAGGTTACTCTGTACTGTGATAAAGTTCCATGTTGTTAAGGACGCTAAGGAA